GAGACAGGGTCTCACTATGTAGTTGAGACTGACCTGGAACTCACTGTGTAGCCCAGGCTGGTCTCGAACTCACCGCAATCCTCCTGCCTCAGCCTCCCGAGTGCTGGGATTACAGATGTGTGCCACCATGGCCGGCAAAAATGATATTCTTTATTCTGTTTAAGCTTTTATACTTTTAAAGTTTTCATAATGTACATGTACTATTATTAAAAATAATTATTATGAAATTGCTGAATGCAAAAAGAACCAAAGCCCAGGGTATGTCAGCGGAGAAGCACCTCCAATCAACACTCTTGGGAACTGATTGTTCACAGAGCTGACAATCTGGTTAAGGGGCTCCCAACAGGACCACATCTGTCCCTGGACTCATGCATGGGCCTGTCATTTACCAGAGAAGCTCATCTGGGTAAGAATTCTGTGCCACATCTTGAGTTCAGATTTAGAAACTGTTATGGCTTGTTTCTAGATGTCCTCCCAAAGCCTCAAACAGTCACAGAGGGTACTTTTCAGAGATGCAGGATCTAGAGTGTGTGATGCTGGGATTAAGGGTGTGTGATTACTAAATTAGTCCTGCCCTAAGGGCAAGTAGCCTAGATACAATACAAACAGACAGAATTTGTTTCTTGTACCTTGCTGCTTACTGCCTTTCTACCTTCTGCCTTCCATGAACTGTTTCTCCTGCTCAATGCCTCTCTGCCATGCCACCTTCCCTTGAAGCCAGCCAATTATGAACTGAAACTTCTACAAATTGTGAGCTAAATAAACCTTTCCTCCTTAACTTTGGGTGGCAGGTATTTTGTCTCAGCAACAAGAAAAGTAACTGAGACAATTTGACACCAAATGGTGCCCTCTCAGGGGCACAATGCCTGGCCTCCCAGGTCTTCTTCTGAAATATAGGTGGAAGCATTCCTGACCCTTGACTCTTGCACTCTGTATGTACATAACACCACCACCACATGGATGATCCCAAGGTCCACTACCAGCTGGAGCAGTAGCCAGGCTTCCTTCTCTCTTGGGTGTAGAGGTCGAGTGCCTATGAACCAAATCCTGAGGAACAAATTCCCTAGGCTGCTGCCAGAAATATGTTGCTCTTAGGGCTCTCTTCTCAAAACAAAGCCTTTCACGTTTGCAATTTTGAGGCTGCAGAGGGTAGAGTCCTACTGGTTCTGATGTCTTCAGGCCATCTTTTCTATTGTTCTCTTCTGAAATACTTGGCTTTTTCTTGCTAGTCTTTTCAGTGTCTAATTTTTCCTTTGTTCCATCTTGTAGGCCACAACTTTATCAGAACTTCCTTTCTGGTCAAACTCAAAAGTTTTAAATCATTCTGCTGAGTTCTTTGCTCTTGAGCCTCAATACAGATCTAGCTAAAAGCCTCCGACAGTAGCCATGCCACCTCCTCAACATTAGACTGCCTTGCAATTTCTTCTACCAGGTTAATTAGTCCACTGTCCTTAATCTCAGTTTCAGGCAAAATCTCCTGACATGAGCAAAATACAGACAAACTTTCTGCCAAGGCATAGCACCCATTGTCTGGAGCCCAACAACCAATGCAGTCTTTCTTCCCAGCAGAAAGCTCCTGAGCCTGGTCTTCACCAGCAGCACTTCTATCAGCATTCTGGTCTTCCGAGCTCTGACCAGAGTCTCCCATCAAATACAGCTTTAAGGCATTCCAGGGCTGCTGCTTCAGCTGGCCTCTCCAAACCTTTCTGAACTCTTCCCACAAGCCAGTTCCAATGGCTCCTGAACCATGTGGTCAGGTACAGTCACAGCTACAACCCTACTTCCCTGGTACCAAATTCTGACATAGTTACTTTTCTCATTGCTGAGACAAAATACCTGACACACCCAAAGTTAAAGGAGGAAAGATTTATTCTGGCTCACAGATGGTAGAGGTTTCAGTT